TAGAATTTCTTACAGCATTATCAGTTCTGACTACGGACCCTATAGCTTAAAACCAGCTTCCAACCATAAGCTCGGAAACATTAAACCCAACCATGAAAACGTAAACTCGAAGCTTGAGATGCTAAAGCCCCTAATAGTCACCTTGTCTGACCCTAAGGGTCCAAGTACCCAAATAATAGGGTTTCAAGGTCCAAAGACCATTCAGAGTATGGGTTTTGGGACCGGTACTTGGACCCTCTGGGTGAGGAATGTCCACATTACCAGCATTGTTCCTTCGGGCTCTTTTTGTGTTGCTATGCATTGTGATTTCACCACAGTATACCCCACAACCCCCGAAACTGCTCCGTAATGCTCCGTAGTTTAAATTCAGTACAATATGTCATAAACCCTAAACCTTAAACCCCAACCCTAAGCCCTAAACCGTAATGTATCCCAAAACCCCGCCCTGGTTATTCACCCGTGGGAGGCCCCATCGCGTGCTGGACACGTGCAGATGACGAGGCCCAGACGGAGGCTGGATTAGGTTTAGAGCAGGCTTACCTATACTTAGGGGTACTTAGAAATACTTGGGAGGCTGCTTGAGAATGCAGAATGTATCCAAATCAGGACTGTTTCCGTAAACACTCAACCTGTATCCTTATTGAATCCTATACTGCTGCTGTTGATGATAAATCACCTTCAGCACCCTAAACTATGGGAATTACGGTATAGTCCTCATTATGGTTCATGCAGGAGGTATATCAACAATGGGATGGGCGTTCTTAAGATGGGTAGAGAAGTTAAGAACATCTACTCCGCTTGCACCCTCAACAAACACACCAGCTCTAGGGCGTGCCCGTCCCTTATGCCGGGTTTAGGGTTTGGGGGTTCGGGGTTTAGGGTTTAGGGCTCTTTCCCTGGGGATCCGAGGACTCATATAGGGCTCTTTTATAGGGATCTATAGTAAGGACTCATATTTTAAGGCTTTTGGGCCCAAGGACCATGCTGTATAAGGCTTCGGGGCTATTTTGATGCCCAGAGCTTTAAGTTTTAAGGGTTCCTTATTATGGATAGTGGGTCTTTTGGACCACAGCTATGTTTTGGCATGTTTTAGGGTTGGGTTGGGGTTTAGGGTTGGGTGATCAGGGCTGAAGAACGGGTCTTGGGTTTAGGGTTTAGGGTTTAGGGTTTTAGGGTTTAGGGTATAGGGTTTTAAGGGTTTAAGGGTCTTGGGTTTTAATTTTAAGGCATGCGGGGTGAATACGCTTTGTTCGGGTTTCGGGTTTTAGGACGTTGAAAGAGCCCCAAAAGGAGATTCCTTGGAAAGGTAGCCCTAAACCCTAAACCCTAAACCAAACCCCAATCCCTAAACCCTTAACTTAATCCTAAACCCTACAGATCTCTATAAAGAGCCCTAAACGGGGACCCCTTGAAAAGGTAGGGTTTTTCGGCATTCCTGAGAGGCCCTCCGCCGTATCGAGCTGCTACGAAGCCGCGGCCCGGCGAAGAGCGCGGCAAAGGCCGGGCCGAGGGTATTTTCAAGGGTTTAGGGTTTAGGGTTGATAAGTTTAGGGCCAGGGTTGATGAGCTTAGGGTTTAGGGTTTTGCTCAGGGATTCTTAGTGTTTAGGGTTTAGGGAGTTTAGGGTTGATGAGTTAAGGGTTGATGAGTTTAGGGTTCAGGGGTTTAGGGTTTAGGGTTTTTGCTTACCAGGACCTCCCAAGTGCGCCTTAATAGAGCCCTTGTGGTCCTTAATAGTGGGTATTCGGGGAAGGGTACGCGGTTTAGGGTTTAGGGTTTAGGGTCTAGGGTACGTAGTTGAGGGTTGACTTAGGGACCCTTAAAGGTTTAGGGTTGAGGGGTTTGGGGTTGAGGGGCTTAGGGTTCATGGGTCTATAGGGCCTAGGGGTTATACCTTAAACATACAACGGTTCCTACGGTAGTTTACTTAGTGGCCCAAAACCCAGCTCTCAATTATTCGGGCTCTTATAAGGTAGTCTTACTGGAAAGTTTGAACTTTTTCCCCGATAGTAGTAGGTATTTGGGAAGTATAACCCCTAAACCAAAACCCTAAACCGTGGCAGGGATGTTTCTTGATGAAGGGGTGTCAAAGGCTCTAAGTACCGATTGACCCCTTGGGGTATTGCAGACAATAGACCTTACTTTCCCTAAGTGTCCATGTACTCATATAGTATATACATTGGCCTTAAAGTATTCCATATATAGGTACATTGGCGCCAAAGTATATGCTATATGGGTGCATGGACCCTTCGGGTTTGATCGAGAAGCCGGAAAATGCCATCGCTACTCTCATTATTATTCCCAGAGGGCCCATAGATACTGTCATTCTTGATCATGATCATGGTGCAAGTGTGTTGGGGAGGGCAGGGACCAACTCCACAATAGGACAACATGTGGACCCTCTTGGGTTTCTAGAGTTTACATACGGTCAGGAGGTTAGGAGTTTTTTTTGGATAGGTGGCGTGCTAAGGGAGAGTTTCAGGTTAAGCACCTTGGGGTTTCAGGGTTTAGGGTGTCGGGGTGTAGGGTTAGTTTTTGTTTTGAGGGGCTTGGTGGGGGCTTGGTGCTCGCATGAGGTTTTGGAGGTTAATCCTCGGTTTACCTCGGATGTAGAGTCAGTTCTGTTGTTGTCAAAGAGGTTTCCCCTGGTTTGCTCAACGAATATACAATTATGCCACTGGGCTTAGGGCTTGGGGTTTATGATTCAGGGGTATCTGAACAATCGTCTCAAAATGGCGCCACTGGGTTTAGGGTTTAGGGGATTGGGGTTTAGGTTTTATGATTCAGGGGTATGCTTTGGGTACTCATAATAGGACCTTAATAGTAGCCCTATTATAGACTGTTACTGCATGGGGGCCGTACCCAAGGTATGCTGATTTCAAGTGGAACATGGGTTGGCTTCCGTCGGTTTGTCGCAGACAGACAAGATGGATCTCCCTGGCACGATAGGAGCACGAGGATGGTCAGAGTGAGTAGAATCAAAGAGGAAAAGGAGGTACCTTTAATGGGGACCCCTACCCTATAATGGGCTATATAATGGGTATATAGTAGCTACATTAAGTGTATATACCTAGGGGTCCTTATTAAGGGTCCCTCCTTTTACCCTTGGATAGAAAGAGTCGCATTCATCGGTCTGAGCCATGCAGCGCCGCGGGGGATCGACTCAAAAGACCCGGGACGCAAAGCCCTGGAGAAGCTGTTGTGCGACGTTATGGTATACCCTAAGGCTCCTAAGAGGGTCATGGGCTTTCTCGGGGAGGGTTTGGGCTTTGGGGGCTGAGGCTTGGGATCTCACTACAAGGGTCCTTGAGCCTTAGGGCAGGGTTTAGGTCGAGCAGACCCACTAAGAGCACGGCCTGAGGAACCGTCGAAGCATAAAAGGATTCCCAAACCCTACAGTAGAAGCCAGAAAGTTGGATCATCATCTTGTACCCTTAAGGTAAAGTATAGGGAATCCCCGCACTAATTATCCTAAACCCATGTTCCAACTTTCTGGGCTTCACTACAAACCCTAAAATCCTAAACCCTCTAGATCCCTTTACTTTAAAGGACCCCTTATAGATCCCTTTAAAGGAGACCTTATAGATCCCTTTACAGGAACCCTAAGCCCGTTGGAGGAAGACTTGACGACCTTAGAAGACCGCCTGGCCGTCGAGCGGAGGCTTCGTCAGGACCCGGAATGTAGCCTCCGTCAGGATTCAATATCGTAAGCTTCAGCGACATTGTTGATGATAAAAACCTTGCATTACCCATAATAAGGAGTTTACCACAATTCCCATAGTTTAGGGTCCTGAAGGTAATGCAGGATTTATATCATCAACAATATGTATATGTACATGTTTTCTATGTGTGTCTGCATGTAAGAATGTGTGCATGCATAGATGTATGTATGTTGGACGTATCTGTGAGTGTCTGAATGCATGTATGGGCATGAGTGAATGAATGTATGTATCTATATATGAGTGTAAGACTGTACGAATGTATGTACACACATGAATGTATGAATGTAACAATGTCTGAATGTATAAAGGTATGCATGTAGGTGGTTCTAAAACCCTAAACCCCAAACCCTAAACCCTGCATTCGAGCAGTAGGAAAAGTCGGGCCCTTGTGCATAAGGCTCCTTGTAACGTAGGAATCAAACGTTCTGACCCTTACAAAGGCTCATGGCAGTGTACCGAGGCTTTTTGGGGCTTACTAGCAGTACTGAGCAGCTCGTATTGAGGTTCGTAAAAATTCATGGCTTAGCGGCCCTGGTACCACAGATGTCACCATCTAAGGTGAACTTTCAAGGCGCAGTATGTACTAACACTCCCATGTATCGTAAGGCAACGACTGGTTTTTTGTGGACGAGCTTGAAACAAATTACTCATATAGCGCTTAGATTTCAACAGGGTTCTGGAAAGGTCTTACACACACATGCCCTCAAAATTCCCATTTGTATACCCCTATATGACAATTCACATATTCAAACACTTTAATGTTCCAGTTGGCAGTTGAAGGGTTTGGTAAAAATATACATACATAGATCGACTTGTCTATACAAACTGTCTCTTGCCAGATAGGATATGGAAAGAGCAGTGTCCCCACCATGAGGCCTGGAGCCCCTTCACCCAAAACCCTAAACCGCTATATACTAAACCCCTAAACCGTAAACGCCTAAACCCCAAACCTCACCCCAAACCCCTAAATCATAGCAGGCCCTTCCCATTCTGGATGGATTTCCATTCTCCTACATTTCATCGTTCTGGATGAACCGCTGAGTATGAGCTTGGTTGATACAGGGTGATTGGGAAATATTACAGGTACATGGTATGATGACATGAGTTTCTATCATGAGAAAAAGCAGACGACCGCTGTTTTGACTCGCCTCGCCAGCTCGTCACTGCAGCCGTCGCCGCTTGTTTTTTTCGGACTCGGCTTGAAACCTGTAGCATATGTAATATGCTTGCATCATCGACCGTTTTTTGGCCGACAGCAAAGTCGCCTTGTCTATCCCCTCATCTAGCTGCTCCTTGTCGATGGCCGGATTGTAGCTTGCACTGCAGCTGTGCCTCATTTGTCATTGTTGTTCTACATTCACCCTGACTGCTGCAAAATCTAATGGAATGCATTTGTGCTGGAAAACTAATAGTAGGATTTCTGCAACCATGTCGCTTTCCCTCGTACTTCTCGTCGCCGGGAAGGCGAACCTGGAAGTGGGGCAGAACCGTAGACCGATGCTCCACATGCGTGATGACCACATCATCTCTCATCTTGAACTTCGCCGTCAGGAAGTCGGGCACGGCTTTGCAAGTGCTCAGCAACCGCCGCGAAGCTCGCTTTCTCTCTTCATCTGCCTCTGCTGGAGCTTCTGCCGCTGCAGGGGCAACCTGGGCATCTCCAGCAGCTGCTGCTTCATCAGGATTTCCGCCTTCAGCACCGGCATCAGCTTCTTCCTCCTTGCAGTTGTTCTGGGGATCTTACAGAAAAATGCATGAAAACGTGATTCAATCATCGACTCAGTTCTGCCTGCTGATCTACTGGACAGGCACCAGGAAGCATAACTGCTGATGCCGGGGTCCTCGTCCTCTTGCTTCTCCGCTTGCTCCAGCAGCTGTCTGGCGGCGGCCATTGTCTCATCCTCCTCCTCTTCCTGGAGATCTGCCTGGAGCAGACAACAGGTGAATGGCAAGCTTGAGTCTAAGTTTGTTTCCCTTCCGAGCCTCGTCGTCCTCCTGGTTGTCGGCCGAACCGGACTTTGTGCGCTTCCGGCGCTTTTCATCTATCTCATTCAATAAGTCATCCAAAGCCTTCAGCTCGGCCGGTGTGCAGGCTGCGATGACAGCTGGGAGCTGGCACAGTGCTCTGATCTTTGCACTTTTGGTGCTGTTTCGCCGAAGTTCCAAACCATATTCGGCAGCCCATTGGATCAAAGTCTCCGAAGTCAGCTTGACGATGTCCTTGCTGCGAACCATCCAGACAAGCAGTGTCTGCCCGGAGCTGCTTCTCCGAAGCACAGCAGCACATCCAACTTTGTCGCAGAGGCGAGGGCTGAGGAAATGGATCGTGTAGGTGAAAACTTCAACCTCGTCAGCAGACTGATTGCATCGCTATCTACCAATGTTGGAGGGGCATTAGCCTTAACAGGTCCTAACCAGGCAGACTATGGCTCGGTCAGGAGGCATCTTCCGTCTGCAGCAGCAGCTCCTTGACCATCGGCCTTAATGGTGAAAAACATCGGTGCAATAGCATAAACAACGTAAGCTGTGCTTCTTTGGTTATACTGCCACGATTATGACTTGTAATAGAAACAGGTGCCAACATTGTGCAAAGCTACTTCTCAAGCCGGAAAGAAAGAGCCTTCACCTGCTCTTGCTCCAAAAGGCAGTCCTGCATTCCAGGTCTGACGTCGCTTTGCTTCACCTTTGTCTCGTCCACCTCATAGGCAGGAAGGCTGCCCTTGAACACCATGCCAAGCTCATCCATCTGGAGGGCCTCCGCATTTTTTTATACGTGATGCGACATGAGCTGCTGCAAAACACGTGATTCGATATGCGAGTCTAGCAGCATACAGGACTGCCGGTGTCGACCCCAAGACAATGTAGAACTTGCTCGCAATTCGGAGCAGCATTCCGGGCTGGCACAATGCCGGAATCCAAAATTTGGAGCTTGACTCTGCAGGATCCAGGCCCGACCTGAGCAGCATGTGCTGTTGACCCTGCCGTTGTTGGCGCCTTCTCAGAGGCAAAACAAATTCATGCAACCGGGAATCTTTGCCGAAAGAAGCAGGCCCTTTAACCAGTTCAGCTCCACCTTGTTGTGGTGAAAGGAGGACGTAGACTGGTAGCCTTTGAGGATGTTGTCCAGGTTGAAGTGGCTGCCTGGGATATGATAGTCTTAATTCTCTTAGGATGTTCGTAGCAATGACATGTATGTATGTCTATTCTATGACACAATGATATGTGCAGAAGCGAAATGATAAGTGTGGATGAATCTTGAAAAAACAACCGCCGTGATCTTCATACCGGAACTCGTTCGTCCACTCTCTCCATCATTCATTCTATGATTCACTCAGGTTCTTTGTTCATTCGTTGAACCAATCATCATCCAAGGCTCTTCCTGAGAAGGACGTCGGTTTCCAAACCGAGGCCTTCAGGGCCCGGACCTCGCTGCCCTCGAAGTCCTCCACACCGAGCTTCACGGACCGTGGCCGGTCTGTCTCACCCGCCTGCTGCCGCTTCTCATTCAAAGCCACCTTTTGCTCCACAGCCCGTATGGAAAGGCATTGCAGGTTGGCCATGCTCGCCTTGAGATTTTTCACTCCACGTTTGCAGCCATCCTCAACTGCAGCAAAAACCTGCTCCACATTGGCGCTGAAAGCAAGGCCTGGGTGCCAGCTGAGCAGCAGAGCCTTGGCCTTGTCCGTCATGGACCACTTTTCCAGCTCCAAGCAACTCATTGGCTCCCTGTAGCACAGCCATCTCGTGAAACCGCACTTCTGCTGAAGCAGCTGGTTGGAGCTCTCTTTGTTCTCCATGTCCACGATTGTCGTCCACTCCAGTTTGATGCTTTTCATAATCTCATCTTGCACTTGAGCCATTTGAAGGTCATCCTTCGGGTCGACGAGCAAAGCTGCAAAGCGAGCGGGGCTGGAACGGAGGTAGAGGACGTACATGCTCATCTCGAAAATCACAGCCAAAACTGCCATGAAATGATCTCGGACAAGATCTTCCTGCACCAGAGGGCGCCTCCGCGAAATCAGCAAGACCTTAGCTTGCCCGAAAATCGGCCTTCTGCTCCGTTCCAACTTCATCATGTGCAGCCTAGTCATGGTCCTAGTCTAGATGTATGTAAACCCCCGATTCTTGGCGGTTTGTTTCCGCTCTGGAGTGGGGCGATGGGCTCTGTCCAATGTGTGGTGTGTGTGTGTGTGTGCACATGAATGAAAGCCGAATGGCTTGAAGTGCTTGCTCTCGGCTAGCTGCCGCAATATGAGAACAAGGAGACACACAAAAAGCATGACTATCAGAGCTGTATCGAATGAGATTGATCATGAAATGAACGGATCGAGCATGAAATGAAATGATCCAACATGACATGAAATGACCCAATATGAAATGAAATGATATCGAAGAATGAATGAGCAGAAATGACGATGAGTATCGATGAGCAATGAAATCGAAAAAGAGCCAAACGAAAATGGCGGGACACTGATGTCAATGATGAAGTAACATGAAATCCAAACGTGATTGACATGAGACGGCAATGACTGACACCTTCCGCATGAGTTGCACCCAGGTGCTAAACATAGATGAAGGCAGTGCCAGGACCGTCGGTCTGAGGGCATCAAACAAAGTTGACCTACTATCTTTATATGATGTATCGCGATAAAGCCTTGGCTGAGCGGGGTAGTTCAGGTCAGGCCTTGATTCCTAGCGAGCGAATGACAATAAATAATAGCATGGCTTATGCGTCCGAAAACACCGTCCTCAGAATCGGGCACTTTCAATGAAACCTTATCATGACTTGCGACGATGGATGTGTCTGCTGCTATTTAAAATATCAGTTTGTTACATGACAAGTTTCCAAAGAAAGCAGTTCTGGCTAACTTGCCGCATGAGCCCATGTAAGGCCCTCAAGGCGAGTTAGGGGTTTGTGTATTTCCGTAAAATTAGACTATTGACTGAATTAGAAAGAGAGCCCCCGCGAATCATCATCATAACTGTTCATATTCATGACTCAATGACATCCTGCTACATGCCCAAGAACCTAGACTGAAGCTGAGCTGCCCCCGCAGCATTGACCTCTGCGTCGTGGCAGAGGTGCAGTCGCCCAAGGGCTGAAGTCTCCAGGGAGTCCCGGACTAAGCCCACAATTCGACTCTCGTAGTCGTTGCCATGAACCCAAAGCGTGTGCTCGTGGAGGGCGAACAACTTGCTCATGTTCTTTTCCTCAATGGGGAGCAACATTAGCCGTGTCTTTCATGATTAGGAGTTCGCCCCACCAGTGATAGTCGTACTAGTAGTAGTAGTAGTAGTAGTAGTAGTAGTAGTAGTAGTAGTAGTAGTAGTAGTAGTAGTAGTAGCAGTAGTAGTAGTAGCAGTAGTAGTAGTAGTAGTAGTAGTAGTAGTGGTGGTACTAGTAGTAGTGGTAGTAGTAGTAAGTAGTAAGTAGCAAGTAGTAAGTAGTAAGTAGTAAGTAGTAAGTAGTAAGTAGTAAGTAGTAAGTAGTAAGTAGTAAGTAGTAGTAGCCGTCGTCGTCGTAGGAGTAGGAGTAGTAAGTAGTACTGGTACCAGCACTAGTACTAGTCGTCGTAGTCGCAGTCGCAGTCGCAGCAACAGGGGCGGGTCGGGTTGTGGGTGTTGGGTGGCCTTCCCCGCGGTCTTTGCAAACACCAGTGTTATAGTCTCACCTCCACTCGGCCAGGGTGGAACCGCCATGCCCAAGGGGTGTGCATCTGCCAGCTGCGGGACTGTCCCAGGTGTGGTTCCACAGGACCCCTGACCAGCTCGCCTGTTCCAGCCCCAATGCCACCGGCCAATGCAACGTCCCTGTTGCGATTGACCCTGTCGTTGCAGTCACCGCGGTTTTGTACCCACCTGCGGTCTGCTTGGCAAGTGGCTTGTGCAGTGACCCCCAAGGCAGCAGGCCAGTGGCACTGCGGTGATGAATGGCGGGGGGTCGGTGAGAAGTTAATAGAAGCAGAACACTCACAAGACACATACACCTAGGGAAGTCTCGGGTTTGCAGCAGAGGTAGCTTTGCCAGGGCTACTGTGTTACTGTTGGTGTTACTGCAACTGCTTCTGCTGCTTCTGCTGCTTCTGCTGCTGCTGCTGCTGCTACGAGCACTAGGAAAACTTACCAGTAGTAGTAGTAGTAGTAGTAGTAGTAGTAGTAGTAGTAGTAGTAGTAGTAGCAGTAGTAGTAGTAGTAGTAGTAGTAGTAGTAGTAGTAGTCGTTGTAGTAGTAGTAGTAGTAGTAGCACTAGAAAGTGGCAGTAGAAGTAGGCAAAACCGTAGAAGTCGCAGTAGTAGCAGCCGCAGCGGTGCAAGACTAACATTACAGTAGCAGCAATAGCAGCAGCAGCAGCAGCAGCACCCGTATTTGCAGCAGTCCTTGTAGCAGTAGTGGTAGTAGGACAAGAAGTAGCAGTAGTAGTAGTAGTAGTAGTAGTAGTAGTAGTAGTAGTAGTAGTAGTAGTAGTAGTAGTAGTAGTAGTAGTAGCAGTAGTAGTAGTAGTAGTAGTAGTAGTAGTAGTAATACAGTAGTAGTAGTAGTAGTAGTAGTAGTAGTAGTAGTAGTAGTAGTAGTAGTAGTAGTAGTAGTAGTAGTGGTAGTGGCAGTGGTGGTATTAGTACTAGTACCAGAAGCAGCAGTAACAGTAGCTGTAGCAGCGCTAGTAAGTACTGGCACCAGTACTAGCACTAGCAGTAGTAAATTAAAGCAGTTTTTGTTGATGGCGGTGTCGGTGATTGTGGTGGTGGGGGTAATGTTTGCATCATGGCGGCTGGAGTCGTCACAGTCCTGGCAATGCTAGCGGCAGTCCTGGCCGTGCTGCTAGTTGTAGCAGCAATGGTAATCGTGCTGCTAGAGGTAGCAGCAAACAGTAGTAGTACTAGCAGTCGCAGTAGCAGTAGTAGTGGTAGTGGTGGTAGTAGTAGTCGTCGTCGTCGTAGTAGTAGTAGTAGAAGTCGTAGTGGTAGTCGTAGTGGTAGTAGTAGTAGTTGTAGTAGTACTGGTAGTAGTAGTTCTTGTAGCAGTCGTAGAAGTCGTAGTAGGTGGTAGTAGTAGTTGTTGTGCGAGCAGTCAGAGTGTAGTACTGGTAGTAGTTCTCGCCGTCGTGATATAGCAGGATAGTACGACTCTTTGGAAGATGCAGCGATTTTTTCTATATTTCCAGAGGCGAACCCTTGTTACTACGACTTATAAAGAATAATACTAGCGGTCAGAATTAGTCGAAGTAGTTGTAGTTCTGATTCTAGTACCAAGATTGGTCAAGAAGCCAGCCAAAGACACATCTCGGTCATGGGCCTCACCACTTCCGCCACGGACTGAAACAAGCTGTGAGCCTCTTCATCCAACAAGGCCTCACGACAGAACATTGAACACTCCGTTGCGGCGTACCAGTTGATCCTGCCTTGACACACAGGTCGAGGACACGGTCGTAGGAGCGGTCGTTCTTCTGCTCTACGAGCGGGTTGCGGCCCTCCTGCACAGAGTCTGGCTGCTAGCATCTGTGCTCCCAGACCAGTGGCTCTCCTCCATGCCCGTCCACAGGACGGCCAGGAGAGTCGCCGTGTACTTTCTCGTGAAAGACTGGGCGGAAAACCCCCACGAGAGCCAGCGGCCCTGATGGAACTTGCTGAATGCTCTCCTCGGCTTCATTTCTTAACAGCAGAAAGACAAGCACAGGTGTGCTGCTATCATTCCATTGCCTGCCACACGACAAGTGCAGAAATCTCGTTAATAATTGGCTGCGAGAGTCCCGGACAGCGACTGCAAGATCTGAACCGTCCGGTCGAAGTCCAGGCGCTCATCTCCCGACGGGGAGAAGCCATTCCTTGGCTTTATGCAACTCAAGCTGGAGAATGCAACAGGAGTTGGTGCCACTGAGTCTCTCCTCCAACACTGCGGCCCCAAAGAGCTGCTGCAAAGTGTCATCTGGCAAGGCCTAGATGTGCAGGCATGACATCAATCAACAGTTTTTGTCGACTCCCTGCCTTCCTACTAACTGGCCATGTTACATGGTATTGCTGCCCGGGCACGACTTCCACATACCGCCGTAGTGCCTGTTGCCACGTGGCTCCTATCTTGTTCGTTGCCCAAGGAGCTTTCCGAGCCCGCATCAGCCAGGAAGTCAGACCAAACATTCCTTGTCTGTCTCCATCAATGAGCCAGCCAGAGAAGCAAAGTCATGTAAACGAACAGTGAACAAACAAACAGACATACGTATACACATACGAACAAACATCCATCCATCGATCCAGGCATGCCTGTCTGCTTGCATACAGACAGACAGACTGGCAGGCAGGCAGGCAGGCATGCAGACAGACAGACAGACAGACAGACAAACAGACAGACAGACTGACATATGATATGAACAGAAATCATGAGATTCTTCTTAACATAAAACAACGTAAACGTGTGCAGCTGCAGCTGCGGATGTGTTAACTGACATACAAAGACATGTGCATAGACACACACACACACACATACATGCATCGGTAGATGCATAAAACCGCAAATATGTATGTGTCCGAAAAAAACAACTCCTCACATGCCCCACCTAAGCTCTGTCTGTTAAAAGGCATCCCAGGCTCGCTTGACACCAGGAGTGGCATTGAACACTCGACGAAAGTGATTGCTCAGCTTGTGCCTGCAAGTGGCATGCCAACTTCCGAGCCCAATGACACCCTATCTTCATGGTCATGATTGCGACCCAGCTGCAGCTCGTCACGTCGGAAAGCCACAGGCAACTTCAGATTTGCCAGGAACTGAAAACCGGCGAAAAGCGCCGACCCTTCATCCGGGTTCAAAATGATTCGGACTCTGTCATCATCTTCCAGCTCCAGCCATACAGCCTCACCCTTGTTCACATCATACATAAAGGGCTTGCCATCATGACACCGTCGCTGAGTGCCTTCTTTCGGGTTGGCACTTGGGTACCCAACATTGCCCGGCTTCAGCTCAACATCCAGCAGCTCCAACGAATGGAGCACGGCCTGAACTTGCTCACGAGTCGCCAACCGTGCTTGCTGTAGCTTGGAGAGGCTCTTTGGCCTGAGCTGTTGCAGATGTTTCGCACCGGGCACAATCCACCTACATGTTTAATTTTTCCGAGAAGCTGCTTCGCCCGGGCACGGCTGTCATCAATCATTTTGCCTGCCAGACCATCTGCAATTTCCTGTGCTGCTTCGAGCTTCGAGCTCGTGTCGGCGGTTGTGGCCAGGAGATCGCTCAGCCGCTGGACCACCCACGGCACAGCCAAGTCGTTGGTTGCGACGATTGGACACCACAACTCGGTTTCGAGGATACTCTCGAACCAAACTTAGACGGTTGTTTCATCATGAAGAGGAATGTACGTTTGTATCTGCACCGAGTCTCCTCCTTGAAAGCCTTCGGCGAGGCATCGCACAGGAAGCTGAGGCTGCGGAACGTCTGCTGGTTCAGCTCCTGCCCAGAGCTTCTGTCAAAGCATGCAAACTTAAGGTGTCTGCTGCATAGCAAATAGCGAATATTGGGTGCAACCCACACATGAGGGCACGGGCTGACAGCTCTGGGAAGATGGAGACAGAGCTGAGTCGATGAATGGGAATTTCTATGGAGAACGTCTCAGAGTGAGGCCCTGAAGCCAGCATCACTGACACTTCGACTGAATCCTCACTGAGAGAGAAGGGAGTGAACACGAAAAAGATTTGCCCTGCAAGCAAGTCTGATTGGAGCGAATGAATCAATTGTCAGTCAATGAAGATTGTGTCCAATGATTCAGCAGGAGCAGTCAGCAACAGTAGCCAGCGAGATTGGTACAGAGTCCTGACCAAACCAGAGTGCATAAGAACTAGACAAAGAGAGAGAGAGAGAGAGAGAGAGAGAGAGAGAGAGAGAGAGAGAGAGAGAGAGAGAGAGAGAGAGAGAGAGAGAGAGAGAGAGAGAGAGAGAGAGAGAGAGAGAGAGAGAGAGAGAGAGAGAGAGAGAGAGAGAGAGAGAGAGAGAGAGAGAGAGAGAGAGAGAGAGAGAGAGAGAGAGAGAGAGAGAGAGAGAGAGAGAGAGAGAGAGAGAGAGAGAGAGAGAGAGAGAGATATATATAGAAAGCACGGGAAACAGGTAAACCAATGGGCACGAGTTACAGACACTGCAGAAGATAGGGTCTGTAGACAGCATCCGAACCAACTCTCCGGAGCCTTCGTAATGCTGCTGCCGGCCAATCGCAGATATCTGAAAGCCAAGTCGGATGCGAGCCTAAGCTCCGGCGCTCCACGAAAATCAATTCATAAAATTTACCTCACTATGTATGTTGCATCTTGTGTCCAGCCTGTGTGAGTGCGAGGGGGCCAGCCATCCCAAGTCGAGCTCATCGAGGGTCACATCGGTCTTGTTCACGAAGCCGGAGGCACGAGCAAGGAAACGTTCCATGGCCATGGCGTGCTTGACCTTGATCTCCCGTTTGGCTTTTCTGCCGTCCCTTAGATGACCACCACAGAAATTTCACGTGGTCAGAAGTTCTCATCCATCAGAGCACAGCTTCAACCGACTTTTGAAACAATAGCTTCAAACCGGCTGCACACGTGCCGGATGGAACTCATCTCTCGCCGATGGCTTTGGGATCATCGTCTGGAGGCTACTGTCCAAGTGACTCTCGCCAGACTGGGAGAGCAAGTGAATCAGTCTTCGCTGAAGTCTGAACACTTTGACTTTGCCCTGCAAGCAAACCATAAAGGCATGAGTGCAAAAACTATCTTGGAAACTACAACATGGCTAAAGCAGCACCGTCTCGATCACCAGCCTCGCACAAGACATCTTCGAACGGCAATCTCATCAGAAACCACGAGGCAGCCGACAGTGGCACACCTGGGGGCTGTTGGCCGTCGAATAGGGTCTTTTGAGTTATGCAAGGCCTGCTTGCAGCTTTTGTTGAGCATGCGAGATCATGGAGCACCTCTCCCACCTGCAAGGAATGTGAATATGGGCAAGACTGCGAAAACAAGGGCCAAAAAGAGTCCGAGCGACCTAGACTGGATGCCGAGGAATTTCAAGCATCTCTCCCATGCCGCCAAATCCAAGTCGAAAGCCAGACATCGCAAAATGCCTCGCTCAAGAGCAAATTACAAAATTCAAATTGCTGTGTGGCAACAGACCGACTCATCATGCTTCCTGGGCGCAGTCAGGCTCATTTGGTAGCAGCTCGAAGCTCTCATCGGGCTTGCAGCAGTTACTGATCAGGAGATCGAAGCCAGCGAGGCAACCATCCTTCAGAGTCTTCTTGCAGCCCTTGACCTGGAGAGCTGAAGCGACCTGAGTTGTGTCAATGCTTGCATGAGCAGTCGTCGGACCGGATTCAATTCAATGCAAAAGGCAAACATGACCACTGCAACTGCGTAGCCATGAAGTAGAGGCCCGGCAGAGTGACCCCATCGAAAGAAAGCCGCAACTTCCCTGCATCTGCTGAGACTTGCCTCCCTTTGTAGCCCACCTTTCGGGGGATGTGGAGCTCGCAGTTGACACACCACTTCTTGGTAAGTTTGGCCATCATCGTCTCTTTCCTTGAATCAAATCATCGAGCGAACCAGCTCTCTAGTGCAAGGAGTGCTTTCATGATCTAAGAAATCAAGCAGCAACTTGGAGAACCAATTCGTGAACTGCTGTTTGCGGGACAGCAAAGGCCATACCTCTGCGATGCGGAACAAATGCTCGTAGCCTTCCACACTTGTGCCCTCCACCTGCAGAGCCGGCGTCTTTGCCGAAGAATGATGGCAGGGACAAGCACTCATCGAAATGCATGTCTAAACTTTGATCCAAGTAACACGGTGAACACAAAGCACACCTTCACGTTTACCTTTGGTCTGCAGGAAGCGAGTGCTGGCTGAAGTATAGTCGGAAAGCGCCGCCGGACTCTGCTCCGACTCAGGCGGACTGGAAGCTTCAGCACCATCTCTGCGTGGAGAGTCGGCGACCACCTGTCCAGCCGGCGGGAACACCACGGGCCGAAGCACTAGTCCAGCAGCTGCAGCATCTGCACGGTTTGCTTCAACCACGGCCTCCAGAGGCATGTGGTTTTGCACAGCACTGATGCAATACTGTGACTGTTGGTCTGTTGAGGTGCAATGAAAGTCCAGGCCTCCCAGTCCGGGCCAGGCAACAAAGCTAGAGCTTCAGACTCTGCGGTCTCGCCACTTCGGATCTTGCGATCCAAGATCTCGATCTTGAGCAGGAAGCGGTCCAGGAACTGCAGCTTCTGCTCTGGATCTTCCAACCTGCAGGACAAGGATTGGGTTGGAGCTGCGGAGCTTCAGCTAATAAATCAATTTGGTTCCCTCTAGCACGGTTAAGGCCGCCCGCCTCCTCGCATCGTCTATGCGAGCTTTCAGCCATGTCTCCATGCCGCCTGCACGATACAGTGCCGGGTTTAGGGTGCTCGGGCTGCATTTGACAGTGCTGGATGAAAGTGCTGCATTTGATTGTTCTGGATGGATCGGGCACCAAGATCGGGCTGCAGTTGATGATGCTGGATGAGCCGGCCGCAGCCGGCACGTGGCGTGCACGTGCCGGCAGTATACATGCCCATCCAGCACGTTGAAATCAACGAGAACGAATTCCATCCAGCACGCGTTAATCGCACGTTTTCGCTGGGGCTTCTCAATAATTCAGAGTTTAGGCAATTCTGCGGTTCATCGTGCTGGATGAGCTGGTCGCAGCCGACACGTTGCGTGCACGTGCCGGCAGTCGCCGACACGTCCAGCACGGTCACCCGCACTCTCGCACACGTCCACAAACATCCAGCACGGTCAATCCATCCAGCACGGTCAACTGCAATTCGACCGCCGCCCCAGCCTTCCTCTTTAAATATGATCGATTGGACAACTGAAACTGCGGTCCCGCCCACCGGTACTGACGGATACTACTCCTGGTACTAGCCAGTACTACTCCTGGTACTAGCCAGTACTAATGGCTGGTACTAGCCAGTACTAGTCCTGGTACTAGCCAATACTAGCCGTCCAGCACGGTCAATCCATCCAGCACGGTCAATTGCAATTCGGCCAGCCAGTACTACTCCTGGTACTAGCCAGTACTACTCCTGGTACTAGCCAATACTACTGTTGGTACTAGCCAGTACTAGTCCTGGTACTAGCCAGTACTAGTCCTGGTACTAACCAGTACTACTCCTGGTACTAGCCAGCACTACTCCTGGTACTAGCCAGTACTACTCCTGGTACTAGCCAGTACTACTCCTGGTACTAGCCAATACTACTGTTGGTACTAGCCAGTACTAGTCCTGGTACTAGCCAGTACTAGTCCTGGTACTTACTCCTGGTACTAGCCAGCACTACTCCTGGTACTAGCCAATACTACTCCTGGTACTAGCCACTACTACTCTTGGTACTAGCCAGTACTACTTCTGGTACTAGCCAGTACTACTCCGGGTACTAGCCAGTACTACTCCTGGTACTAACCAGTACTACTCCTGGTACTAGCCAGCACTACTCCTGGTACTAGCCAGTACTACTCCTGGTACTAGCCATTACTACTCTTGGTACTAGCCAGTACTACTTCTGGTACTAGCCAGTACTACTCCTGGTACTAACCAGTACTACTCCCGGTACTAGCCAGCACTACCACTCGGGGCTGGTAGCCAATACTGCTCGTGGTACTTGGTACTAGCCAATACTACTGCTGGTACTAGCCAATACCGTACTCCTGGCACTCGCCAATTCTCGCCAATTGTGATACGACTCCTGGTGTCCAGAGTGCTCACCAGTACTAGTGCTGGTACAAGCCAGTACCACTCCTGGCACCAGCCTTTATCCTGCTTCCAGCCGGTACTACTCTGGTACTCGCCAAAACCACTCGTCCGGGCACTGGCCGCTAGCGAGTGCTGCTCCGGGTGCTAGGCAGGACCAATTGCCCTGGGTTCCAGCCAGTACCACTCCCATTCTGCTCTCTTCGCAGACTCTGAAACCTCGCCCAATGACAAGATGGCCCTCTGCAGACTCTGAAAGAATCTCCCTCTGAGCAGAGTCTGAGAACTCGCCCAATGACAATATGGTTCTCTGCCGGCAGACTCTGGGAAATCTCCTATTCGCCGCTTCTGCTCTCTGAGCAGAGTCTGAGAAATCGCCCAATGACACTAATGTTCTCTGTCGGCAGACTCTGGGAAATCTCCTATCGCCGATTCTGCTCTCTGAGCAGAGTCTGAGAAATCGCCCAATGACACTAATGTTCTCTGTCGGCAGACTCTGGGAAATCTCCTATCGCCGATTCTGCTCTCTGAGCAGAGTCTGAGAAATCGCCCAATGACACTAATGTTCTCTGTCGGCAGACTCTGGGAAATCTCCTATCGCCGATTCTGCTCTCTGAGCAGAGTCTGAGAAATCGCCCAATGACAGTAATGTTTTCTGTCGGCAGACTCTGGGAAATCTCCCATTCGCCGATTCTGCTCTCTGAGCAGAGTCTGAGAAATGGCCCAATGACGGCATAGTTCTCTGTCGGCAGGCTCTGAGAAAATTACCATTCGCCGGTTCTGCTCGCTGAGCAGAGTCTGAGAAATCGCCCATTGACAATAATGTTCTCTGTCCGCAGACTCTGGGAAATCTCCTATTCGCCGATTCTGCTCTCTGAGCAGAGTCTGAGAAATCGCCCAATGACAGTAATGTTCTCTGTCGGCAGACTCTGGGAAATCTCCCATTCGCCGATTCTGCTCTCTGAGCAGAGTCTGAGAAATCGCCCAATGACACTAATGTTCTCTGTCGGCAGACTCTGAGAAATCTCCAATTCGCCGAATCTGGTCTCTGAGCAGGGTCTGAGAAACCGCCCCATGACATTCTGCTTCTCAGTCGGCAGACTCTGGGAAATCTCCTATTCGCCGATTCAGCTCTCTGAGCAGAGTCTGAGAACTCGCCCAATGACAATAATGTTCTCTGTCCGCAGACTCTGGGAAATCTCCTATTCGCCGATTCTGCTCTCTGAGCAGAGTCTGAGAAATCGCCCAATGACAGTAATGTTCTCTGTCGGCAGACTCTGGGAAATCTCCCGTTCGCCGATTCTGCTCTCTGAGCAGAGTCTGAGAAATCGCCCAATGACACTAATGTTCTCTGTCGGCAGACTCTGGGAAATCTCCTATCGCCGATTCTGCTCTCTGAGCAGAGTCTGAGAAATCGCTCAATGACAATATGGTGCTGTGTCGGCAGACTCTGGGAAATCTCCCATTCGCCGATTCTGCTCTCTGAGTAGAGTCTGAGAAATCGCCCAATGACGGCATAGTTCTCTGTCGGCAGGCTCTGAGAAAATTACCATTCGCCGGTTCTGCTCTCTGAGCAGAGTCTGAGAAACCGCCCCATGACAATATGGTTCTCTGTCGGCAGACTCTGAGAAATTTCCTATTCGCCGATTCTGCTCTCTGAGCAGAGTCTGAGAACTCGCCCAAT